GCGATATTATCGAGGCTGAGAAACGGACGAATGAGCATCTACGTATAGAGCTATAAAATAGACACGACGAAATCCAAGAAGTCTGCAGAGTGCACCGATAGAGCCCGTTGAACCTACGAATTTAGCCTGAAAACGTTGCGGTTTTACGCCGGATGAAACATAAGTAGAGCCCGCGGACGGGCGTTATGAAAGCGCGCGCGCGCGCGCGGTCCGGCAAAAGGACGCCAACGGGCGTGTAAATGGACGCGCACCGCGGATATATGTATTGGATACTGTTGCGTGCGGTGTAATCGAATATTACTCATAAAATGCGAGGGGGGGAGGGGGGGCGCGCGCGCGCAGAAAGCCGAGCGCGCGTACGGCTTTCGTGTAAACATGGCTAAAAGCTCACCGGGCTCTCCACACATACACTGCGGTGCTGTGCGCCCGGGAGCCGTGCGTAACGCTCCGCGTAAACACACCTCGCTAATCGGGTAGGTAATATAGGTGTATGTACCTCGTGACGTAGGTACGCAGCTCCGATTTCCGTGGCACGCGCCTCGAGGGCTCGCCTCCTCTCCGTCCCGTCGTCAGCGGGTACGAGAAGTCGCACGCGCTCCTCGCGGCGAGCAAGAATTTCCGCTAACGATCGTTGCACTCCGCCGAAAATAATTAGCCGCCGCGTAGCACGTATAGTGCGTTGCAGTGCGTTTAATCGCCGCGAGACTGCCGCGCCACGGCTCGCGTTCGCTTTGAATTATTTAAAAAAAAAACCGATTGAGGAGAGACTTGTTGGTAAAAAAAAAATGCTGCGTAACGCGGCTGATACGATGGCTTAATGAACTGTCGTTTCCGTCAACCGAGATTAGTTTTTCTCTAATCTCAGTTCAACTTACTCCTGTCAACGTCTTTTCCTAATTCTTATGTCTATTTCTACCAATGTAGATTAACTTCAATCTCGGTTTTATTTACTTCTTATCTTTTTCTAATTCTTAAAACTAGAAAAACACACGAAGCAAGCTAAACCTGAATTAAAGTTAATCTAACGTTGGTAGAAACGGACATTAGAAGTCGAGAAAGATAAAGAGTAAGTTGAACCGAGATTAAAGTTAATCTACATTGGCGGAAACGGGCATTATAGCTGAGGAGTCCTAGCTTTTGCGGCCTCGGAGGCCGCGTATGTGTGTGGCAAGGACGTCTTTTTGCAAAAGAGCGAACGCATGGCGATATCAAATAGCCGACATTATACCGCAATGCCGAAGATCAAAGGACTCTGGCGTTGCTTGATTAATTTTCAACGCTCGATCTCTCGCTTATCTTTCTTTTTTTTTTTTTTCATCTCGCCAAAACTGCACGCGATCGCAGCGCACACGGGCAGCCGAGGTACGAGCTGCACACGTGTACTACTGTACGTACTCTTACAAAGACAAAGCTAGGAGAGGGATGGAGACAGAGAGAAAGAGAGAGAGAGAGAGAGAGATAAAAAGAATGAAGTGCATAATAAAGAAAAAAAGCCTCGTCCGTACCTTCTATCGAGCTATCGCTCTTTCTCTCTCTTCCGATAATCTCTCTCGCTCCACATGCAACTCCGCAAATCAATGCACACATTATCTTTCTCTCTCCCCCCCCCTC